ATAATTATAAATGTAATATCGGATAAGATTTTTAATCGTTCTCGTTGCGCCACGTGTCATTATCCTAAGTATTATTAAATAATACAAAATAAATAATTATAATACAATTATTGGTGACGGATTTCTGATAAGATTATTAACCAATGACGTCGCGCCACGTGTCATAATCGGTTCACAATCTTTGAGGATAGATTTCCATCAGATTTTAAACGAATGACGGCATGCCACGTGTCATAATCTGTTAACAATCTTTGATGATAGATTTCCATCAGATTTTTAACGAATGACGGCATGCCACGTGGCATTATACAGAACCTAATCCTTTCTGAATCCTCTATATAATCCACCATCCATCTTCACAAATCTCACACCAAAATTCTCAAGATCTCTATCTTTATTCATAATTTCTGCTTCCTTATTCACAAAAATCAGTTTCAATATTCATAGTTTCTGTTTCTTTCTTTCAATGTCTTCTTCTTCTTCCTCAAGGATGATGTGGGAATTGAATCAGGAAGAGGAAGACTTGTTTAACCAATCAGAATCAATGTTCAATCACCAGGGGGTAAGAAATGAGAGGGAAGAAGATGAGGAGCGTCAAATGAGAGATGACGACGTAAGAAGGGGCAGAGCCTCACATTCCCGTCGAGTCATCCAAGCTGCGGCTCAGATCTGCAGGCCCAAGCGTTCCGGAAACCTTGATAGAAGCAGACAACGACGAGGTATGGAACTCTTGGATGATTATTTTGTTCCTAATAGTGCATTCCCTGATACGTACTTTAGACGTCGTTTTAGAATGGAACGACATTTGTTCAACAAAATCATGATTGCTGTTTGCAACCATGATTCTTATTTTGTGCAAAAAAAAGATGCTTTTGGTGCTATGGGTCTACTGCCGGAGCAAAAAATTACTGCTGCCTTGCGGATGCTTGCATATGGAGCATCTGCAGACCAAGTGGATGAGATAACGAGGATGGGGCAATCAACCATTCTTGAGTCCCTGATGAGGTTTTGCGGAGCAATCGAATCTATCTACACCGCTGAGTACCTCCGCAAACCCACACACATGGACTTGGAGCGGCTGTTGAAGAAGGCGGAGATGCGTGGCTTTCCTGGGATGATTGGAAGCATTGATTGTATGCACTGGACGTGGAAAAACTGTCCAAGTGCATGGCAAGGCGCTTACGGGGACAGAAAAGGGGCAAAAAGTATCATTCTGGAGGCGGTGGCATCTTTTGATACATGGATTTGGCACGCCTTTTTCGGGGTCCCGGGAGCTCAAAATGACATCAACGTCCTTGCCCAATCCCCAGTGTTCAACGATGTCCTGCAAGGAAAGGCACCAAAAGTTACATATGAGGTCAACGGACGTATGTACGACGGGCCATACTACCTAGCTGACGGCATCTACCCGCGCTGGTCAACATTTGTCAAAACAGTGCCACGTCCGCGGAGTGCGAAGGAAAAACACTTTGCAAGCTGTCAAGAAGGGTGCAGGAAGGATGTGGAGCGTTGTTTTGGTATCCTCCAAGCTCGCTGGGCGATCGTCAGGGGTGCTGCCAGATTGTTTGATGTAGAGTCGCTTCGATCCATCATGATGACGTGCATCATTCTTCACAACATGATTGTGGAAGATGAGTACGATTATGAAGCTGTTGATGAATATGAGCCAGACCCGATGAACAATTCAAGAACACGTATATATTGTGCTCATGACGCCACCGATGAGCCCGTGCAACATGAGCCATTACAAAGGGATGGACGTTACAATGAAAGGCTCATTCAACGATATACTGCATTTCAAATGCCAGACATGCACAATGCCCGACAAATTGACTTGATAGAGCACCAGTGGGCATTGAAACAAGCTGAAGATAATTAAGTTCATTTTAGTGTGTTATTTTGAATTTGGTATGTTTATGTTATTTTATTTGGTGTGTTTTATTATTTGGTATGTTTATGTAATTTTTTTATGTTTATGTTTATGTAATTCTTAGTATGTTTATGTTTATGTTTATGTAATTCTTAGTATGTTTATGTTTATGTTTATGTAATTTTTTTATGTTTATGTTTATGTAATTCTTAGTATATGTAATCTATGTAAAGGACTTTTAATTAGAACGATGGCCTTTTAATGGACTTTTAACAACATAAATAACTTACCAAATTAATTCTTAATATAAATAACTTACCAAATTAATTTGAATAAATATTCATGAACATGGAAACAACATAAATAATACAAACAATAAATAATAAATTACAACCCAAAGTGATTGGAAAATTATGGGCTCCGATTACAAAAAGTACTCTATTCATCATCACTTAACCAATTTGTGCTGCTAGGATGATCTTCTCTTGCGGTGCTAGAACCACCTTGGCTTGCTATTGTTTCTCTTGCACGCCTCCTTCGCACCACGTCCGCTTTCTCTGACTTCCAAAAAAATTTAGAATTTGGAGACTTCCCTTCTAAAGACATGTTCATAATCTCACGATCTTGTTGAGCCCGTCTTTCTTCTCTAACATGTTCCCTTTCTTGCCTAAGTAGCTCTCTTTCTCTCTCATTAGCATAAAATTCTCTCTCAACAGCTGCTGCTTTTGATGCCTTATCAGCCTTATCAGCCTCATCTTTCGCCAGTTCCCTCGCCAAAGTCAATTCACCTTGGCGAGTAAGTTCTTCCATGAACTTTGCATAATCGTTCTTGGAAGCAGTCCCTTTTCTCTTTGAAGCCTTCTTACCTTGAGGCCTAATTGGAAAACGGGTCGAACCCGACGCTTGTTCAGGGAGGGGCGTTTCGGGCACTTCTTCTGCATCATCTGCTCTCTCATGATCGGGTGTAGAGTGTAGAGGGGTGCTATTCATGTGCACTTCTGGACCGACTGGCACAACTCTAAATTTAGGACAATCTTTGACAATATTCCAACATTCCCACCGGTTGAATGATTTATTTTTGATTTTGGTTTTGGCAGCGTACCAAGCTTGTGCTTGAAGTTCCTACACAATGAAAATAAGTAAGAAGGCTTCAAGTTTAGTAAATAATGAAAATAAGTAACAAATAAATAATTATAATGAAAATAAGTAACTAGCAAATATATACATATATATATATATAAGTAACAAATATAATGAAAATAAGTAACTAGCAAATATATACATATATATATATATATAAGTAACAAATATAATGAAAATAAGTAACAAATAAATAAATATATATATATATATATGTCATGCTAATCATAACAAGCAAATATATATATATATATATATATATATATATATGTCATGTTAATCATAACACGGGGCTAGAGTTCCAAGTTTAGTAAATAATTTTAACCTTAAATATACACATTTTTTTTTCTTAATGTAAGTGATATTATACATTAATTTTAATGAAAATAAGTAACAAATAAATAATACAAACAACATAATTATAATGTAACAAATAAATGTAACAAATAAGTAACAATAACATAATTATAATGTAACAAACAAATAAATAATACAAACAACATAATTATAATGTAACAAACAACATAATTATAATGTAACAAATAAGTAACAATAAATAATAAATTTTGTACGTAACAAATAAATAATACAAACAATAAATAATAAATTATATAGATAACAAATAAATAATACAAACAAATAATTATAATGTAAATTTGGGTATCAAATAAATAATATCTTGTTACCATATCCGAGTAATTTTCCCCACTTCGAATATTATTACTAGCTTGTGCCAAAGCGTCTCTCCACGTACTAAACGATTGGCTAAGTAATTTCCAACGACTGGACATCGATTCTTTGGTTCTTTTCCCACCAATTTTCTCAAGATAATTGGTATGAATAAGACTCCACATTTCTCGCAACTGCATCTCATTACCCGTAAGCGAACTATGAGTAACTTCAACCCAGCTAGTACACAACGCAACATCTTCAATAAGCGACCAATTCGTACCTGCACCAGTGGTCATTTTGTTGAAAAAAAATGGATTCAAACTTTGAGACAAAGAAAGGAATGTGATTGAAAGTAGTTGAGAAAATATGAAATTGTTGTGTAAGGTAGATAATAATGAGAAGGTATTTATAGAAAAGTAAAAACAATTTTTTTTACAATTTTTTTCAGATTTTTCAGATATTTTTTTGAATTTTTTTGAATTTTTTTACAATTTTTTTTAAATTTTTATTCAATTAATAATCTCTGCCGTTGGATATAAAAAAATTTGAATTCCAACGCTCCAGATTGTGCCACGTGTCACAACGGTAACTTTTCAGATTTTTAAAACTATTTTTTCATTTATTTTTTAATTTATAAAGCATTTTAATATCCACCGTTGATCTCAGATCTAACGGTGGATATTAAATCTGACTTTTTTTTTTTTTTTTACCGTTCAGATCTAACGGTCCACATTAAGTGACCGTTAAGATCTAACGGACCGTGGGAAGCCACGTGGCTTCCCAACGGTAACTGACAAAAGCCTTTTTTTTCTGATTTTTTTGTCGGGACGCGCCCCCACGCGCGCGTGGGGTGCACGCGCCTGACACAAAAAAAATTAAATAATGCGCTGACGCCACCCTGGCGTCAGCATGCCGTCACTCCCACCCCGGGCTCAAGGCCTGTCAATTTCTCACGGGCCTGGCCCTCGGGCCTCCCCCTTCCCCCCGGCTTCCCCACGCTGGAGCCGATCCACCTTCACTCGGGCCTCCGTTTTGGAGCCCGTCCCCCGAGCTAAATGAAACGCTGGGGATGCTCTTACGTGTGCAGTAAATTCTCGGTTTGGCCCATGCTACCCACCTTCAGTCTTTTTACCAGCGTTCCACAACCCCTGATGTACATGTGTTCGTCTCCTCCTTCCTCCTCCATCTCCCTTCTGGGCTCCCCCCTCCGTCCTCCTCCTCCGTTGGGCAGCTCCTCCTCCGAACCTTCTCTTGTTATTTTTTTCATCTCTATTTTTCCTCATATCCCTCTTGTCTTCTCCTTCGTTTTATTCCAGACTGTTAAGTTTTATTGCTTCTCCTTCTCCTTCGTTCATTCCTGTAATTTTTCATGTTTTACAAATTATTTGAATTTTGGATATTTGATTTTTGTTTGAAAAATGTGTTCTGTTGTGTTGTGTGAAATTGCATTCTTTGTTTTGGTGTGTTTTATTGGATATGTCAGAGTTATACAAATGCATGAACATCATATTACAATTTTCCTTTTAAAATTCTAAGTAGTTGATGTCCAGTTTACGATGTTTTTGAGTTTTTCAGCCACTTTGTTTTTTATTTTCAACCCAAATAATTCACCTGCACTATGTTGTTGCCTCTTTTCTGTATGCATTTTTCCGTGCACGCTTCATGCCGAAAGAACGAGCAAGCCACTTTCTTGGAGGATTTGAAGGATCAAATGGATGATTTTGTCAATGCATACTTGCTTCAAGACCACCGTGCAAAAGGTTTGTTCCCCTTTCGCATTTAATACTTATACGACATGTCTGCAAATGTTTTCATTGTTTCAATCGGTTTGCTTCTAATTTTGATTAGGTAATTTTGCATTCGTTTTTAGTTCTTTGGAATGTCAAAGAGTTGTCTCGGAGATAAGCAATGATACTAGGGAAGTTGGAGCGAATTACCTTTGTAAAATAACAAAATAAATTATTTTTTGCAGCAAATAAAATTCTTTCCTATCCTAAGATATTTTTATTTAGATTAATCAATTTTATCCCAACATATATTATTAGCTTATTAGCTCAAATTCATATATTGCAACCGATTTCCAATTACGCAGTAACGCGCGGGTATTACTATATAGTCTTATCTAAGAGAAGGTGAGTGCCATTGAACCGTAGAACTGACGGCTCAAATAACTAAATATTTAGTTATGCATAATTATGTTGTCCTTGCACGATAGTTACTACAGTGGTGAAGAGGAATGTTGCCTTTGCACCACGACGTGGGTTCGAACCACGTCGACTCCTTAATCTAACATCTAACAGTAACAAATGACATACCATTTACTCCAACCGAGATGTCAAAGCTGACATGGAAAAGAAAGCTAATCTGACTTGGATAGAATGATGTGAAATTTGACAGTACCTTCAAATATGGTTTTTGCTATTTCCAAAGGCATTCTATTTATCTTACCTTAAATGCTAATTTATTTAAGTATTATTTTATTATTAACTAACAACAACCCAACTTTATTATTTTTGTTTTAAAAAAAATATATAAATAAAACAATAAAATTTGGCATATCGGGTGGAAATATTAACAATATGTCAAATTATTAAGTCAGCCATTAAATTGAAATTTAATATTTTGGATTTGACATCTCCTATGAAAATGCTCTAATCTAATAAATCTTTCATTTAACCCAAAAAAAAAAAAAAAAAATTGTGATTGTAGCATAACTAGAAGCTGCTTAGCAACGCTAATTTTGTGAGGCATATATAATATGGACGGTGTGGTCTGGCAGATTTCTGATATAAAAAGCAGAGATTTACCAACCTTAGATCCTCAATAATATCAAGCTTTCACTTGAAAGAGTGATTACGGCATAACATTTGAAGGATGATATCTCCAAAAGGGACCGTATAATCTGTAGATATATTTTTTTTCTTGGCTTTGGTATTTTCAGCAGTGATCCAATGTGGATGCATCTCCAACGACCACCGATTTGCTACCAAATCAGTGTCAAAATATTCACGAAATTGTTGATAGTTCTGTCAAAATATTCAAAGATTAAGATCGATATGGAAAGATGGTGAAATGCAAACTTCGCCCTATAAAATCAATAAATATCGACGATATTTATCGATTCACTTCAAAAAATTTGATAGAACCCATTGCAAATTTTGAACATTTGATTTTTTTTGAGAGATTTCTTTATAATTTTGACTAAATTTGAATAAGTTAATATACCCACCCCTATTGCAAATTTCTATAATTCCCGTCGAAGACAACCGAATATCGATGTGCAAATTTATAGAACTATCGATGAATATATCAATATCAATATAAGTAAACATAACATCAAAAAAAAAAAAAAAAAAAAAAAAACCCAAAGTTGTGTAGTTGATGGTGTCACATTGAGTTTCCAAACGTCATGGAAGGAGTATTTGTGAAGGTTGACCATATCTCTGGTTTAAATCCTCGTCCACAAGAAATTTTTCATTGTGATCGGAATACGAGTAGTACACCACGTGTTTTTATGTAAGTGGTGAGAAATTTTATTGTTTTAAGTTATCAACTTTTTAATATACATATCCTACTATCTTTATAGAGACACATGATGCATTACCTTATGTTCCGGTTACACTAAAAAATCTCTCATTGTCCATGACTTCCAAAGTATGTATCGGCTATCTAGCGTCACCGCGCTATTGATAAACCATTAAACTCTGTAGCCATTTGGTCCATACATGTATATTTTACACACACATGTATATTTAACTTAATGTTTTCTTTTCAAATATACGTTGTCGTTTAACCCACTTCGAATCACTCGGGCAAGAATAAAGTTGTTTTCTTTGTTTCTGGGAAGCACTCATGCATGTCTCGTGTACCAGGCATGGAAATTATGCAATCTTTGGTCACCGTGTGAATCGCACTAGTCAAGCAGCAACCTTATTTTCTTGGTTATTTGAAAGCAAGCGCCAATAACCATACGTCTCAATCTGCAATGTGATATCTCCTTGTTAATTCAAATTTAGCATGCATCGGTCAGCTAAAAAAAAAAAAAAAACTAATAAAAAAGGCTTGAAAACTTTGAGTTTTAACGAAAAATGACAAAAATGTGTTGTAAGTGAATAGGACCAAGATTGACCTTTTAGAGTAAAAATGTGATTTTTCGTTAAAGCAAACAGTACCGGATGCTTTTCGTTAAAGTTCTTAAAAAAAATTCTTGAAGCTAAGTGTGTTAAATGATTTGACTCTCATATCCAAAATTTGCCTAACTATTCAACACTCATGCTGCCGTACGTACTACTGGTTTTGAATGTCCAACTTTGACAGCCAGCCATTGGTAGAGTGGAAAGTAGGTTTATATATGTTTTGATTCTACAAGAGTTTGTCTACTTGGGCACAGGATTACAAAGAAGATCCATACCTGATTTTAATTCGGAGACAAATCGTAACGGAGAAACAACAATAGGACATAAAAATTTTAAACTATATAGAAGACTAACTATAAGTATATATATCTTACTGAAGCAAAACTATTTGTTGTTATATTTGACTCTCATTAGATATCTGAGAGATAAGTGAGAAATTTGCTGACAGCTGAAACACATGTCAGAATTTCATTATTATTTTCACATTTTTATATAATAAAGGATAAACGCTTCACTTATCGTTTTTTTTTTCCTCAAAAAGATTTGGAAAATAAAGTGTTTGGGTTATATTGGACATCTGTAATTTTTCTCTGCAAATCAGGAATGCAGCTGAGGTAGTATTAGCTAGGAGGGTAAACATAAACTAGTTATACACTTACACGTACAAAACTATATATATATATATATATATATATAAAGTAAAGGGTGAACTACTGCTTTACTTTTTAAATGATTAACTGAGTGAAAATTAGGTCTCTAAATTATTTATACGAAAAATTTAATCCTTAAACTAAGCTATTTTATTTAATTTTTCGTTAATTTAAGTCACATGACTAGCATGTGATACATTTTGAAGAGTAGATTGGTAGTTTTAGATGAGTCCAAAGACTTTGTTTTCTCAAAAATATTGTGTAGGAAGTTAACTTTGGAGAGTAAATTAGGCGTTAGTTTTGCAACATATATGGAACGTTAAGGGCTTATAAGCAAGAAAATGAGAGTATTACCCTTTAGAATGTATCATGTGGCTTAAGTTGATGAAAAATTGCATAAAATAATTTTGAATAAGATAATAGGGATGAAATTAGCAGTTTTATTGAATTTAGTGACTTATTTTATAAAAAAAAATAATAATTTAGGGATCTAATTTTCACTAAGTAATAATATATGCACTAAATTGGGAGTCTACCCCATAATAAAAATAGTTACAGAAAAACTAAACCTAATGGTAGACGGGGAAATAAACACGTTTTCATATGATTATTTAGCACATTAAAACTGATTAGTTATACATAAACTATATAACTAGAAAAAAATAATAATAATAGTGGGAGATGTCGAGCTTTGTAGTGGGCTTGTAACTAAGCAGGGTACTAAAGTGATTGGTTGTATGGAAAATTAAATCAAGAGCATGAGAAATTCATTAATTATCACCTCATGTTGAGGTCATATTAAGCATGCCGTAATTGTTGTCTCAGTTTAAAAAAAAAAAAAAAAAAGTGGGAGACATAAACCCCAATATAATATTGTTTTCAAGTATTATATGGGGTATGCGTTTGTAGTTCAAGTAGTTAAAAAAAAATTTACTTTGGCACTCAAGGTTCTGTGTTTGTTTCTCTCACCCTACTAAAATCTTGTCATAAGCATCGCTGCTAGAATCCTACTAAATCTAGTCTTGCTTAATTATATACTAGCATCTTGTCACACACTTATTATTATTATTATTTTTTATTTTTTTACAAAATAAATTAGCAAATTTAAGTTATTTATTTATATATTTTACTAAAAAAATTATTGGAAAATAAATTGGAAGTCAATCATGACACACCCCGACCCGAAATGTTCACTTGGACACCCAAATCGTGATGTGCTGGCCGACATCTAGAAGGTGACGAAGCCATAAAGTATAATGATGTGGAAAATGTGAATAAATTAAAACCTAAAAGTGACTAATTTAGAGTGCGCATATGAGCAGGGATTGAACCCATATTACACCAGTGATGTTAAAGCATAAATAAATTGCAGTAAATATTTAACCATAACCGTTTATAAACGGTTATCCATACCCATAACCGTGTACCTATTTAACCATAACCATTTATGTAACATCCCACATCGCCCAGGGATATGGATCCTATAAGCCTTATATGTATATTCTCATATCTACTTAGCACGAGGCATTTTGGGAGCTCATTGGCTTCGGAGTTCATCGGAACTCCGAAGTTAAGCGAGTAGCGTGCGAAAACAATCCCATGATGGGTAATCCACTGGGAAGTTCTTGTGTATGTTCCCAGAAATAAAACCGTGAGGGCATGATCGGGGCCCAAAGCGGACAATATCGTGCTACGGTGGAGTTGAGCCTGGGATGTGGTGCGGGCCTGGGCCGGGATGTGACAATTTGGTATCAGAACCAATCTTTGACTGAATGTGTGCCGACGAGGACGTCGGACCCCTAAGGGGGATGGATTGTAACATCCTACATCACCTAAGGGTGTGGATCTTGTAAGCCTTATATGTATATTCCCAACTCTACTTAGCACGAAGCCTTTTGGGAGCTCACTGGCTTCGGAGTTCATCGGAACTCCGAAGTTAAGCGAGTAGCACATGAGAGCAATCCCATGATGGGTGACCCACTATGAAGTTCTCGTGTGAGTTCCCAGAAACAAAACCATAATGGCATGGTCAGGGCCCAAAGCGGGCAATATCGTGCTACGGTAAAGTCGAGCCTTGGATGTGGTGGGGTCCAGGCCGGGATGTGACAATTTACCCATTTAACCATAACCATTTACCCGTTTATCATTTTTTTACCCATTTACCCTTTTTTCACCCATATACATGTTTTTTTTAACAACTTGAAAATTACG